GCTCATCTCCTCCGACGAATTCTCGAAAGACAATAGGGATGCAAGGCTTTGGGCTGAGGTCTAGCCCTCCTTCCATTCGACACATCCGGCGAAAAAGGCCGTGGAATACTACAATAATAATAATAATAATAATAATAATAATGATAATATTTAAATTAAAAAAAAACGAAAAAAGAATGAATTCTATGACAAGACATAAGAATGCCCAAAGCCAAAATTTTGACGCTGAGTCCTGATGCATGAATAATCCTGTAGTATGTCTCATAAATGAAGACTTTCAAGGAGTTTACAAGGAGTTTACAAGAAGTTTACAAGGAGTGGTTTCACCACTTGATTGCATCACCTGAGGAAAAAAAGTTTACTTTTTGACCGCCAAGTCTCGAAGCTTTGCGGTCAAGGGATAATTTTTTTCTATGGGAATTTTCTTTTAAAAAAATGGAGGACATGAGTATCAAATAGACTTTTTACATGTATAACACGAGCGTTACGAAAGCGAAGTACTTTCGAAGGCTTTGCTATAATTTCCTAGTTATAGGACTCAATAAATTGTTCATTTTTGCCGAAACTGAATATTACAAAATAGAGCAACATCAGTCCACGTCTTGGAATCCCAGGATGAAGTTGGGAAAAAGTGCCCTCCAAACGAAAATAATCCTAACTTCCTATAACTCATTAAAAGGATCACGAACAGCAAATGAAGAAAAATTATTTAACAATTCCATTCCGAAATTGTATAGAACAGTGCTTCGCAACCGGTGTGCCACGACAAAGGTTGAAATAAAAATGTTGAGAAGCACTGATATATCTGAACTGTAGAAAGCTTCTTAGAATATATACAATTTCCCCTATTTTTACCAAGTCAGGCAGTAACTTACTGGAAGTCACGTTTAGTAACCCTCTCGAGGCGACTAAGAGGGGGGTGAAGGCGAAGTGACTCGGCGATGCATGCATCCAAGAGAGGCAACTTGGATAGGGTGTCGTGTCGGATCTCTCCGTCCGTTGCCTTGATAGCATCCAGGATCTCCTCTCTCACCTTGGATTGAATCTCGGGGTGGAGAGCGAAGTAATAGGAAGTGAAGCTCATGGTGGTCCTCCCCGTGTCGAAGCCGGCCAGAAAAAACACCATCAGCTGTGCCTCCAGCACCTTCTGTGTTATGCCCATGCGCTGGTAGCCCTCGTTCTCCTCCAACTGCAACAGAGACCAGAAATAAGTGTTTTTCCTTCAGCACTACCTCAGAGTTTTTTTTCTTATTCATTATTTTGAGTACTCGCATTTGAGAAGGAAATTTGAAGACGGAAATTCTATTAATACTCTAATATACTTTTACCAAGCAAACTTGTCATTCATATGTCACCAATGATCATATTGTATCATATGTAGTTCCTTCTTGTCATACCTCCTTGAGAGCCTGGAGGATGATGTCCAGGAAGTCATTCCTCGTTCCAGTATCAGGGTTTTGCTTCCGAGCCTCGACGATCTCCCGAACGATCTTGACGAAGAAGTCACTCGCCTCAGGCGGGAATAAGTCCATGTAATGCATCAGCTTCGGAAACGACACTAAGAGTAAAAACCTTTACATTTGTCTTGTAGTCTTTAGCACTTATTGGGTAAATCACCCCCATTTCCGACTCACCCATGAGTAAAACCATAGGGTTATCGACTTTTTCATTGGAGAAAAGCTTGATGGCATTTTTCACAAATGGGTTGTCAGCATCTTTCATAGAAGAGATCTCCACGCCAAATCCATACGATGCGATTATGTCCATTCCGAACCCACCGTAATATCTGTAGTAACATATTCACGCTTTCTGAAGTGATGAATTTAAAAAATGGTTGCACTCACATCAAGCAAGGTTTAACGTCAATACAACTCCAGACTACTGTTTTAAAAACTGAGCTATCAATGAACAGCCTGACTCCTA